GTTTAGTGTATTATTGTAGTAGTGGAAGTTACAATTTAATTTTTTCTTTCCATATTTTTTCAATTAAATAAAATATTCTTGAGACAATTCCAACTTACTTAGTAACAATTTTCAAATGCTAATGGCAGTGTCTTCTAGTCCTTTAATTTTGTGACAGATCCTGTTGTCTATACATTATACTGATTGCTTTAACACTCTTTTGGGTTCTTACATCAGGTTTTGTATATATTGTTAATGAAATACTTTTATATGTGAGTATATGAGTGATCTTGTAATTTCAGGTTGACCCAAAATTCCTTCGCAATTTACGGTATTCCAAGAAAAACAACCTGTCTACCAAGGCTCAATTAGCTCGAGCTGCTCATCGGGAAACCATGCGTCTAGCACGGAAGAAGAAGGCGTTGGCTGCAAGGAATGCTAAGGCTGAACCCAAGGCGACTACCGAGGCTGTTGCAAAGCCTTGAATGTATGTTTTGCGATGAATAAATGTTTCTAATGCAATTAAAGGTTTTCTTTTTTCGCAATGTGATTGCGTAATCAGGCTTGGATTTTAATGACCTTAAATTCTTTTAAAGTTGTTCATTTTTTTTTTTTACAATTTTTAAATAAATTTTTAGTCTTCCTTTATAGGAGGAAATGTAATCTGTAGCTTTGATCTCCCAATCGTTAGTTTTCAAAGATTGGGGAAGCTACTGAAGATGTATAGTTTTGAGAGTTTGAAAAACGGAGTCCACTCTAGTAGTAAATTTCCTTTTGAACTGATCAATAAAGAATTTTAGTATTTGTAAATTCATGAAACATTCTCCAACAAAAAACTGGAAAAGGAAACAAAATGCAGGAAAATGACAAAAATAATGAAATAGTTTAAATAATGAAAACAAGACCTAATGCTTGAAAAATGGCAAAAATGCAATACTTCTACATATTTATTACATACGTCAAGATATGTTCATTCACAAGTTAGCTGTCTTGAGTGCACCAATGAAAAGATGTCATCAGAATCCAAGCCCTGGCCATAACCATGTTTGCAAATGTTTCTGGTTGTAGTTTTTATACTTGATTCGAGGATGTAATATTAAGAAATAACTGCATTCCTTTGAAATTGTTTAGAAGTTAATAAAAAAAAATTCTCTGAAACTCGGGTAGTGTTCTCTAATTTTTTTCTTTTGTATAGAGCTGAACTTGATGCTTTGATCCTTTGTCAATATCTTTTCAGTCTTGAGCGTGGGCCCATGATGCACTTCCAGAAAACAATATTGTAGACAAATCATACTAGGATTATCTTTAACAATTGCCCATTGCTTTTTTGTACCAGGAAACTGGTACAAAATACCAGGAGGAAAAATCTAGTTCTGCAGTGGCTGTAGAGCTGTAGCAGTTCACACAAAGCTTTGTCTTCTCAAGATTACAAAACACTAATTACAGAATGTACTACTTTCCAGAACATTATCCAAAGTACATCGTACCTTTTTTTTCTTCTCTTCTTATGATACATTGTCAAAACACTGGTTTTAACCTAAACTTAACATTAAAGCCTAAACTAGGAAAACATATGTACTCTAATAATATTCCATTTTATAATGAATGAAAAGAATTTGGGATTTTGTAGCAAATATCCATAACCATTTTTCTTAATTTCGCTAGTGAATCTTAAAAAGACTTGTGGCTCTCACTTGCCTTTAGACATCAATTTGCCCAGAAGCTAAACTGTTTACTGATTTATTCAAAGGGAGGCCTTTTCAGCCATGCGTAGTAGGGAGAAAGTTATGTTAAGCTACAGAAATTAAAAGTTTCGGGGGTCCCTTTGATGTCGAACCCCCCCCCCCCAAAAAAAAACAGCTGTCAATCGTCTGGAAACAACCCTTATACAGAAACTACGCTACTATTTTTTTTCTATACTTTTTGGCCCTTCTGAAGGTGTTTCATAAGAAAGTTATGTAATTATGCCAGTAAACTCTTAGTGGCAGGCCTTGGATTATGCGGATAAATCCTGTTGGTAAATGTAGGGGAATATCCTCTAACACATGGGGTAGTCAGAGTTAGTGGGTCCTTGATGTTATCCATGCACGTTTTCTTGAGCCCTCATTTTGCTAGATGCGAGAGAGTGGGGGGAGGGGGGTGTTATATGAAATCTGTAGCTCGTTTTTCGATGCAAACTATTACTCAGGAACACACTTCTATCATTTATTCTGAATTCAACTAATATTTGTAAAGGAGTGGGGGTGGGTATGCCAGAGCTCAAGAAAACTTGTGTACGATTCCGAAAAATTCATGGCCAAACGTGTCTACCTGTAGCACTAGCACCTAAACTGTTCAGCCAATTTTCTTCAAACTTTATATTCCCAGATCAATCTAAATGAACCCTAGGCTTTCAGAGTTTCACACTGATATTTTGATATTTAAGGGTACTTTACACAAAGCCTTAAAACTATTTTCTAAACAATTAGCACCAATTACTTTTTATCAAACTCCTCAGATTGCGTAAAGGGTACTAGAGAATGGTGCAGGTATAGTTTTCCTTCAAGTCCCAGAATTTTTGAAAATTGGCAAAGTGCAATATTTTGGGTGTCTTTCTGCAACTATTATTATTATTATTGATTGTGGCCACATTGGACCACTTGAGTCATTCCACTTCACTTTTACTGTTTTAATGGTCGACTGTTGAAGGTTTTCACCTTGAGGTGAGGATAAATCCTAGAGTTAAAATTCTGAATGTTATTCAGAAAGGTGATGATGAGAGATGGAGGATGATGGATGGTAGGGGGGTGAAAGGACGAACACAATACAACCATGCCAGAGGCAGGACTAACCCGCGATCTTTTGGTACGAGATCACTATGGCACTACTGCCTTAGTGATCTCGGCCACCGGATCGGCTTCTGCAACTATAATATTAAAGACAGAATTTTTCTCTTGATGAAATTGTTCCTTAAAGAAGTATCTTTAAATAAGTTCATGTTCAATTATTTTGGGAAAAAAAATTGTTTACATGTAATTTGGGATGAAATACAGGTGATATGAAAAAAATTTAACTTTACCCCCTCAAAATCTGCTCCAAATTGTTTCTACTGAAGGAAGGGATTGCTTGAAATGTCACTTTCATTTTCATCAAATTGTGAATTTAGAAATAATGCGAGAAAGTATGTGCAGTTGAAGCCACGCTATTTTAATTTTTGGCGTGCTTTACATGAAGCCTCTGCCACTGCCACACTACACACAAATTTGCTCAAAAATATTTTATTTGCCTCTGCTAATTTTCAATTGGAACAGTTTTGAAACAAATAAAATAATTATGATATTCATTAATATCTCTTTTATAATCAATAGGATCTTCATTAAATGACCAGTCCAAAATCTCTCGCAATGTGGAATTCAGCTGTCGACTCCTTGTTCTTCACTGATTCCCATCAAATTTAATTGGTCCTGTTGGGAACCCTCAGTTAAATAACAATTGCATAAACATTACATGTGATTAAAAATGAGGTTAGGAAATCTTGCAATAAATTTATTGTAATGCAGATATTTACAGAATTATTTCAAGAATTCTCATCTACATAAACAGAGCACATGCACTTTTACTTTATGAAAATATGAATGAATACAGAAAATAAATAAATCACTCATAAACTCTCAAAGCTTTCGTAACAATGATAGTGCATTGAGTGCTTTCAGAACTGGAACTGACCATCAAATAAAAGTAAACATTTATTCCTTGGTGAGGTTATTTATGAGGCCTTTACATTTAGTTGTCATTTTCAGTTGAGAAAGTCATATCAAAAGTACTTGGAGATTTGCTCTCAATTGAATTGTCTATTTCAGAAACCCATCAAACGCCAAAAATTTGGAAAATTAGTTAGTGGCAGGATACTATTGCACAATAGGCACATCTTTTAGTGTAGAAATCAGCTATGTGTATCTCACATGGTTGGGCGTCACATGCAGACTGCATGTGAACAATTATTCAGTCTATTTATTACTATTGTAATTCAAGCTAGGTTGAAAGGTCATCAGCATCACTCCAGGGGCTGGTTAGGTTACTTGTTTGGGGATTTTCTAAGAACGGTACAGGTAGTGTCACTGAGCCTGTAACGACTACGTGCATTTCTACAAACAGCCAATAGCATATATTCAGAGTAATGTTTTGAAGTTCCTTTGGCAAGAGATTTGATTGTGCTGATGAAGCATGTATTAATAAGTGTATGTGCAATATTAAATGCCCTCCAAATATTAATGAACAAGTAATAAACCAAATGTAAGTTATTTTTACAATCTCAGGAATAAAAACATTCAAAATACTTTTATTCAAATGTTGATAGAGGCAAAAGAAATTTGGTGAAGTTTTAAGGCTTTGTTTTACTCCATGTAAGAAAATCCTTCAATAATAATTTGGTTATCGTAGAATATAGACAGGCTTGTTCTGCATTTTTACAGTTCTTGTGGTAGGTTCTAATTAACAAGAAGATTTAGGATTTAGTGAAACTAATAATTTATGTAGAAGGCCATGAACGTGTATGGCATCATTTTCCATTGGCATTGGCCAAGCAAAGATAGTGATGAGATTGTGATTTTGCTCAAGACGAATAACACGTATTTTCAAGATTTTTTGTATATTCTAAATTCATAACATATAATGCAATAAATAATAAATAGCAACACTCATATCACTATAAATAATAAACTATATATTCTCTCTTACAAATTAAAACGAGATTATTTCTAATCTTTTATTGCAGAAACCCACCAAGTGCACTGTTGAAACCTTTTAAAAAAAATTAATGTGAGCAGTAAATAGAATATTTACATGAAAAATATTCATTTATCAACTGTTTTAGTATTAAAAAAATATTTTGATATCAGAAAAACCAAACCTGTTTTGCTACGACAGTTTTCCTTAATTTTCTCACGATGAGGAATTTGGCATTTGACGGCTATCTGAAATAACTGATTCAATTGTATGTTGACCATGTAACAAATATTGAAAAACAAAGAATAATAGAAAAAATATGTAAATAGAAAGATATTGAAATGGGTTACTCAGTAACCAAACAACTTGCTTCATAGAAGATAATTAAGAAGTAACCTTTCACTGGATGGCCAAAAATGTTTCTTAGAAACTTCAATTTTATTTCAAAGTTCAATATGTGCCTAGTGTGTACATTTTAACAATGGGTATAATTTTTCATATGTCGTACTATTAAAATAAATTTGAACTTACAAAAATAGATACCATTATAAAAAGTATTTCCTTTGAACACTGCACACTCATCTCTACTTTGTCTATGCTCTTCAGAAATAAAGGATATTCCATCTATATCATGAGCCACAAGTAATGTGACGGTGTCTACTGCTCTGACCATTAAATCTGGGCGCTAACAACTTTTGAAATATTTCACTTATAGCAGCAGATGTATTTCACTCGTAATTTAAGGTACTTGGTTTTGTGTTGGCAAAAGCCACTGCCAACCTTTATAGGCTTGTAAAATATTATGATGTCGGATTTTTGTTTACCACATGGACTAGTAATGCTTCAAAAGCTTCTATCGTCTTGGATTATTGGTAAAGGTTACTATTCAATAATATAAATAAAGGAACAATACTGTAATATTTTGACTTCTCTCCTACTAACCTTCAGCCATTACTTGCAAAATTCCTAACTAAAACAAAGAACTACAGTACACTACTTCTTTCGATTTCCAAGTCTAGGCTGAGAACTTGAAACATCAGTAGTTAATGCAAGTCGTGTACCAATCATTAGTAATAGCGTGTATTCATGTTAATAATTTAATCAAGTCAAAAATGTAACTTCAATTGATTAAAATTTAATAGAATGCAGGGAGGAAAACATACAATCAAATCATTCCCAAAATGTGGTAAAAGCAATGTTTCACTTTGTACAGGTAACAAAATTATTAATACGGTGTGAAAGAATTAATTTTCTCACTATTTTATCACTAGCCTTATGTTACTTTTGAAGAAATTGATCCATCTTTAAGACTTTAGAAGCATCTTTTAGTTTGATTTTTGACAAGCGCTGGTATTTATTAACGTTTTTAACTTTAATACGGGGAATTGGTTGGGGAAATTCATCGAGTTTTGAATGACCTCCCATTCCATCGTACTCTTCTTCTCTTGGAGGAGCAGTATTTTCGATTGTATTTCCATCTAAGCGTCCCTTCCGGAAGATACTATATTTGCTCATGGTGGCACTGACAGTTTGGTTAAATCGCATTGGGGTCAGACCAGACGCTGAAGATTTTATACTCAAATATGGGGCTGCTTCTTTCTGTAACAGAAGAAACAGTTTAAAAATAGAATTAAGAAATGTTTTTAAAGGTTTTGCGGCAAACACATTAGTGTAATAATGATTTTATAGCTAAATCACAAATTTTGTCCACTAGTGTTTTCCTTTCATTGCACTGGAATCCAACATAGTGTCAGGCATTAATGCAAAAGTTCTGCTCGATGTTCTAAGAGGGCAATGATGATTGGAACAAAACTGAGAACCGAGTCAGTGCATGTAGTATGAGTGCAGTTAGATTAGACACACATTTCAAAGTAGTGCATTTTATTCATAAATATGCCAAGAATATTTATGAATAAAATGCACTATTTTGAAATGGGTGAGCCTTGTTTGTTGAAAACACTGGCAGTACTGATAAAACAACATGAATTGTATCTACATAATTACAACACGAAGGGTTTTCGTATAGAAAGAAGTTCGAACTTTCTACGCAATCAATTTCGTATTGTTTTTTTTCTTCTATCTACCGATCTATCAAAAGCGATTGTTATTTTCACTAGAACCAACCAAGAGATATTTTAGTTGCTCTTGGTTTAGTCCCCTTGCACAACCTAGCATATGAATGTATAGTTTGCTAAGCAAGATTTTATTTTGAAGGTCATGGAGTGCATAACACGCAATGTCCAGCAAACATTTGTGTCAAATGTCACTTTACAGAAAATGTTCCATATTTATATATGTGAAGCAATTATGTTTTTTTAAGTTAAGGTGGGTAGCAAAATTTTCTGCTGTTAGCTGTATCAGAACATGCATGTACAGATCTTGATAAATATAAAGCATTTCAGTTACATATTCAGAAACCTGCAATCTCCCTCATTTCATTTCTCGTGAAAAGTAAGTAGTGAGCAACATGAAACAATGATTTTTGAATTTCCATAAAGAGCATACCCTTTTCTGTTGTAAATGTTGGCAGTATCTGGAAATCTGTACATCAATGGCCAGCTGTAAGCTCATGTTGTAAATATCGTTTGAGCAACATTTCCATGGACTGAAGTGAAGACTAAGCCTACTGAATTGTTTTAATAGTAACAAATGGTATTCATTACTCACAGGGGAAAAGATTGGTTTTATAATTTTTGGCTCAGAATTGCTTTTTTTGAGATAGTATGTAATACAAAAAATAATCCAATACTTATGACTTTACAAATAAGTTTTCCATTTTCGCAACCCAGTAAGCTGGCGCCCTGCCCCTCCAAAACCCCCACTGTTCTTCATAACAAATTTAAATAATATTGCCCAGAGAAAGAGTTGTACTTGCCCGATCCAGGTCTTTCGCATGGAAAACTTTACTTGGCTTTCTAAAAAGTAAAAACCTCATCTAATAAGCTTGTGACTATCAAGGAAAGCGAAATGCTAACTGTCAAGAAAGATTGAATAATTACTTCAAATGATGTTTTTAAGAGAAGTTGATCTATGAACTATTCACACTATATAATACTGAATAAACATTTATTGGAAATTTGTTTCCAACATCAATTGCATTGTTTCTATTTTTGTTTAATATTCAGTAAGTATGAAGTTACATTTATACTTTTTTTTTAAAAAACAAATAACCCATATCTTTAACAACTTTTTTCTTAATGGAAAAGATAGGGATATAAATAGGAAAAGGTGGGGATTCACTTGCCCAGTACGCTAGTGAATACATACTTATACCCCAAACTTATAAAATAAATAAGCAATAAATGTAAATATTTCCTCACATTCAATATTTTTCCAAGAAACAGATTTTAAGTTGTGAAAAAATGTGCCTCCCTACACTACACAAAGAAAAGTTGGGACAATGTTGACGAAATATTTAGAGTCCTGAATGTCCTATAAAACATCCAAACCTTAAATCTTCATAAGAACAGTTGACAGTAGATTTTAAGGCCATATGACATTCACAGACTGGAATTTGGAATTACTTCCTTACTAAAACAGTTGTCTACAGTTGGAAATAAACTGTCTCCCACAATATTGTTTTGGGCAGGACAGTTGACTCCATTCAAAGAGATACCGCACTGTATTAACTCCCCATGATCAGGAAACCATTATTCAATTGGATAAAGCAGATTACCAATTGTGATAGAATTGATATTAAATTTGAGTGTAGATGTACCCATTGTGATTTACAAGCAGATAGTTTTATTTTATATGTAATATTTTGATTGATAAGTTAACTTGATTTGTGTGTTTATCAGCTTCAGCTGCTGCAATAAGTAAACACACAAATAATGCATTGCAAAAGTTGAAGGTTGTTCTATGCAAATTGGGTCGAAGACTGGTAAGTAGTCACTAGCACGCAAATGCATTGTGAAGCATCAACTGAGGTATGTAAAGAGATTAGGTGATAATAAGTTAGGTGATATTGCATAAGTACAAATTTACGAGTGACAGCAGAAATAAACCACACTTTGTGTCGCTCTAGCCTTTGAAATTCCACATCAAGATCGATCCCTTTTAATCACATATTATGATATTCCTCGTCACCTTCACCTACCCTACTCATCTGTTAGCTAGCCTCAACTTCATCAGGGTAAAGTTTTAAAGTGAGATTCAACTTCCGTCTGTTCAATGGTCTCTTCAACTGTTCCTACTTCAGTCTTTAACCATTCATTTTTGATAATGTGAATATGAACTAATTAATTCGCGAAGTAGCCAGGTTTTGACTCTATCATAGGTAATACCATGAGTGCTTTGTATAAATTCCAGATTCGAGAAGCGAGGAGGGGATTTATCTGAGAATTTCCAAAGCACAAGTGGTATTTAATACTATTCCACAAGTGAAATTATGTCCAACAGAGTTCCAAAATGCACTAAATATTGAAAATAACTGCAAGCTATGTTAAAAACACCTACAACTCAGCGATCGATGTATACCAACACCTAAGACAGATGAGCCACAGTTTATGACTGGCCAGTAGGGAGAAGTGGTAAGAAAAACCTGATAGAAAAGGCAAAAAAATGTTTTGAGAAACACTGCTCTGATTGGGACATTTGGATGTATAGTTAAACACTATTGGTTTTAATTTCACAAGTGGAAAAGTCTGTAATAAATACTTACCTTAATAACAGGGGGTGATGGAAGGTCAGGAGACTTGGCAAGATTTTCTATTGAAGAATCATCAAGGCAAGACCGTTTCAGATAATCAGGGGCAGGACTTTCAGCCAGAACTCGCTTGAGGGCACTGGCACAGGGATGACTGGCAGTGGGTGATATTACTGCCTGTTGCAAAGCATCAAGTTTCTTCTTTAAACTTGCCCGCTCCTCAACTAGATGGTTTACCTCCAGAAGCAAATGTCGATTTTGTTCTTCCTGGCCTTTAAGTTTTTCCTCCAGACGTCGAACCTTAAGTGGCAAAAATTACATTGAACTTAAAGAGATGCAAAAAAATACAACTTGCAGCCAAGAGTAGAAGAATAAACATAATTTGAAAGATCAATAGGATGGTCCAGGTGTAAATTGCAACATTTTGCTGAAAAAATTAATTTTTAATCTTTTCAGTTTCTCATATTTAATAGCACAAAGAAAGTATTGTAATGCTGTAAGTGCAGATTTTTTGGCAGAAAAATTAGTTTTCGAGGTCCCTGAAATCAAAGGAGAATTTTTCTTGATCCTAAATGTACAATACAAATTACTTTCTTGGATATGTAGTGTAGTCAGAATCCACATTTTGTGGATACCTTAGAAGTACTTTTTTTTCAAAACATCTGTCAGTGAACTGGATTTGGATTACACCACACACAGGATTTTCAGTTAAATTAGTATTACCTGGACGATCTGGCTCAAGTCATAGCATATCGAAAATGAAATGGATATTTTCCTCTAAGATATTTTCATAAATAGCTCAATTTCTCAAAAAATGGCTCCAAATTTGTTCTTTAAATAAAATATTCTGTTCAAAGAGAGCAATTTTCAGAGCTCTTAAGACCTTTTTGCATTCATTTTATGGACTTCACAGACTGAGGGCCCAAATAGCAACTAAATGGAGACCAAGGAAAAAATTACGCAGCGATTAAATATAGACAAGACTATTAATTAAAAATCATCAAAATGATATTCACTGTCATTAGGATAAATTAACTACCCAGAACAATGTTTGTAATAATCAATAACACTTGCAAGTCAATATCTAGTTTTTACATTAAACATAATATAGTCAACGGTTATAGTGCATTTCTGGGGACTAACATTTTTGGTTCACTATATCTGATGATGTCAAAATTAAACAGAATTTCATTATAACCATTGCTTTTATTAATATAGACAGCAAAATACATTAACAGCATGAACTAAAAATCTCAATATTTTATTGGTCCTTAAAAAATCAATTTCTTTCCAATTATTTCTTCGTACCTTTTCATTAGTAATTTCCTCTAGATTCTACTCCAGAGTTCATGCTCTCTCCTTAATTGATTCTGCATTGTTCTCCATGACTAAGTATCATAATGCAGTCTTGACACCCTTCAATGCACCTTGGACTGTTAGAATACCATTCCACTATCCGAAGACCCTTTTACTCGCCTAATAATACACAAGATGCTTTTGGTACCAGGATGGCCCAATCGGCTAATGAAACTGTCTTTGTCTTTGTTTCCGCATTGAAAAATGAGTGACATCAGGTCATCAGTAAGGTGCTCAAGTCCCTACCTTCACCTTAGGGGAGGCTACTTCTAATATGGCCTTTGGCTGGCTTTTAATATACTATTTTGTATCTAAAATACTTTTATTGAAGTATTTTGTATTTGCTATCTAAAATACTTTCGATGAAGTATTTTATATCTGAAATACTTTTTTCAAGTTTTTTGGTGAACTCTGCTTTTTGAAAGAGTTAAAAGGTAAAAATATAATTGGTACTCCAACATTACTGGAAAGGATGAAGATAGACTACCTAACAAATTTTGAACTATATGCCATCACCACAAGAAATGTTGGGAGATGAAGATATGGAGTGATAACTTGTGCTGAGGACGATATAAGCCTCAAGGCCCAATTCTTGTGATTGAAGTTTTGGGGGACCCTTGTACAGAGAGGGAAAAAAAAGCATTTTCCAAAAATATTCCGAAAAATTGTTTCTTATTTTTTGGCTCTAACGGGGCAAACTGTTCTTATTAAAACAGCACAGTTCTAATATGCAATGACACCTTCGAATTTTCTAACATTGCAAAAAACAAAATATCGATGGATGCACATACAGACTGACGTATAGACAAGTGATCAATTAGTCAGCCGGAAGGATGGTCAGTAGCTCACAAGGAAGGCAAGACATTAGGTTGGTTGATCCATCAGTCTGGTCAACCAGCCGAAAAAAGAGGAAGGAAGTAGCAGAAAGAAGGGAAGGATGGAATGATAGACGGCTAGTCAGGCGGATAGATGGTCGTTCAGTAAGGGAGAAGAATGGTCGGTCTATCAGTCTGTTAGGTTGAAGGTCTCTCAGTCATTTACATTGAAGAATAGTAGGTCCGCCAATCCATTAAGATTGTAGGAGAGTCAGTCTGTCAGATTGAATGAATCATTCTGTGTCGGTTAGTTTGAAGGATGTTGGTCAGCCAGGTCCGGGGCGTTCAATCTGTTAAGATGAAAGATTGATGGTTGGTCGGTTGGCAGTTTGTTAAATGGAATGGCTATCGATAAGCTAGTCAGTCACTAAAGGTCTAACAGATGGACAGAAAAAGTAATCTATTCTTAGCACATTATAAATACGGAATTTGCTTTTTTACCTGCCCAGCCAAAGAGAAACTTTTAGATTCTGCTTCACGAAGTTTAGTACTAAGTTCCTTTTTCTTGGCAGCTGTAGTTTGCATTTCTCTGTAAATTAAATTCAGAACTTTTACAAATATTTTAAATAAAATAATAGTAATAATAAGTTTGTGTGTATGTATATGTAACATGTAAGTATTTGTACACATACAAACTGTGATCAATCATTGATTCATACTAGAAAATTGTTACTCTAACAAACTGAATTATTTTAAAACTTGTGTACGTATCTTACAAAGGTGTAAGAGCTTGTTGCTGTTGCCATTAATAATAATAACAATAACAATAATAATATTGCATTGAAAGGACTTTATAATTAATTCTGCATTTCTTTCAAAAATACTCACTTCTTTAAAACAGACGTAAATGTTAGTAAAGACTTTGTAGCTTCACTGGAGTCCCCATAATCATTGAGAATTTCATCAACTTCTTCAGAACTCCCTTTTATGACAGTCTCTATACTGAAATCCACAGTAGATTAAAAACAAAGAGAATCAATATAAAGAAAAGGTGACAGACCAAACATGAATAGGAGGGTACAGTGCTTATTTCACTAATATCACAATTTACTTAATGCTGTTTTAAATGTTTTTCATTTGATTGGGTAACTTTGAAATTTTTATAGTTCTTCCCCTTAATTTGGATTTTAGAGCTGAACTAAAACCAACAAGACACACAACAGGAAATCACATTTAGTGCTATTGGAACAACTGGTTGAACAATTTCATGGTTTGAGGGAGTTTGGAGCCCCTTCACGGAGAAAATTTATTATTTATATTTATAAGTCGAGAGAGAACAGTACACATTAGTGATAACCTGGTACTGTGCAAGTGTAATATTACATAATACAAATTTGAAAACTGTAGGATCATAAAATGTAATAAGTATTTTTTGCCTAGTAACATTGTATATTTATAACAGCAACACCTACACTTATTTTCTTTCGATATTTGTAAAGATCAAGCTTTATGTTAATCATATGTTCAATGTTATTATCTTTAATGTTTTTTTGTACAGATCAATATTTTCAAACAAAGCTGTGATAAAAGACTATCAAAGTAAAACTTGCAAAACAATCAGTATACATTTTTGGAGGGTATCACCTTGATATATCGACATCGCTTTATAGGAAAGAAAGTGAGTGCTTGGCCTAACATACTGGTTTCCTTTGGGCAAATCACAATTACCATTTTGCAGTGGCTGAAGGGTGAATTTGAAACAAGGGACTATACCAAGTGCATAAGGATTCTTTACAGTGATCACATGTTTTTTCAACTCCAAAGTGTCAAGTCAAAATTAAGAAAATTTATTTAAAGATGTAATGCAAAATTTTATTTTACAGCAATATTCGGACTAGTTCAAAGAAAGATGACAAGCAACAATGAAATAGAGGCCAACAATTCACACCTCCCTCTTTCATTGATGAATTCTAACACAGGTTTATAAAGATATTAATATCTTTATAAATTGTTTAAAAACAAATAAACAGGTTCCAGAAAAGCAAATGGGTAGAATTAATATGACCACACTTTCTTAATAAGAGTAAAATTATTTTGAAAGTATTTGAGACTCAATACTCTCATGAATAAATTTAAATTTGTAACAAAAAACAGTTGTTACATACTAGTCTCCCCTGATGCACTACATATCATTAAGGCAAGATGAAGAATTCTCTTTGACACCAGACAAAAATATTTAGCCGTTGTCATATAAGACTGTTACTCTTCAAGTACCCAAACAACTAACCTCTTGTATTATTTTATACTTACTTTCTTAAGAATTGCACTTCTTTCTGTAAACGTTCTCGTTCTGTAAGAACAGGTTCTAAATATTCATTTCTCTTCTTCAAAACATTAAACTGTTCTTTTAAAATATACATATTTGATTCTGAAGATTTAACTTCTTCTTTCAAGCGTTTTATTTCACTCCTAAAAAACCAAAATTGATTATAATTGATCTTTAAACACTTGAATAATATAAGTGCACAATCCACCCAATTTCCAAGAAAATAGCATGCAAGAAAGATTTCCGTCCAGTGAGTTCCAAATAGTATGCACCAACCAAAGTATTATGCACCTAAGAGCAAGAGACACACAACATGGATTCTGGCTAGACCAGGATATTTTTTCTAAATTTGACAAATAGATTTATCCACTTTTTTGTTGCATTTTCATAATTAAAGAACCTATTGTAAAAATTAACACAAGAACTCGTGAATTGTAAAATGAAGAACAGACACACCCTTACTCTCATATTTCTCTCTCAAAACACAACAAACGGTTGAGGCAATCTCTGTTTCTGCTATATTAATGAAATATGAAGAAATGAATACCTAGAAGGAATTCATTACTGAAGCGCAATTCATGTAACTATGAAAAAGGTTCCGTTGTTGTACTTATTACAACAGCGCAAGTGCTCAAAGGTTGATGTGCCTTTATCAGTTCTCATATAAACAAATTAGACCACAACAAATATTTTTATTTAAATGTATTAATATTATTTAAAATTCCGTGTGTATCTTGAAATTTTGTTGTTTCATTTTTCTATTTATGACTGAGGCATTTGTTTCGTATGTCCCTACATATTTCGTTTGAAAAATGTAGCAACATTCTGTTTTAGTTTCTTGTGCACAAACAAAAAAAACAGGATTCGTTTGTTTATTTTATCAAGAAATAGACTAGCAAATATTCAGACAAGACACTTAGCAATGATCACCAATACTATTGTTGTTCATTTGAAAACAAAGAAGGAAGTAGACGACTCCTATTCTCCAATTGAATTTCAAGTGCATCTGACAGGTGATCATCTGGGACCTGTTCACCCAATCAGGAGATGCTATTTCAAAAACACTATGTCACAGATGATCACCTATCAAATGTTCTTTAAATTTTAAACAGAGAATAGTTGCAGACCACTAAAATTGTAGCACTGATAATTTTCTCTATTAAGTTTTCAGGTATTGTGAAATTATTGTATTATTTTTCAATAGAAATATTTCAAATCACATTGTTTCAAAAAAATCCAAAACTCTCTTAATGAAATAATTTAGATTTTTTTTACTTTTTAATTAATTTGAAGTTTTTCATAACTAAAAACATATTTCAAAGTTGCAGGACTGAGTGCTGCACATGTCTGCTCATACAATAGGCTCTGATGTGCCAGCCAGACAGTTAAAAACCTCTAAAGTTATCGATTTAAAAAATGTGGAGAATAAATAAATTTTATACTTAGCAATGACAAACTTGTCATCTAGTACTCTGGTTGCAAAATTTAATGCGAGTATTTTGCTACTGTTTACAAATCATGTGTAAGGAAACCATGAGAATAAAAAGTTGTGTATTAAAAATTTTGGATTACACTTACTTCAGCCCGGCAGACTTTTTATTGAAGGTGGCGATTTCTTCATTTAATTTCTTTAATTCTGTAGTTTTTAACATCAAATTAAACTCTAGGCTACCAACTTTATTTTGTAGAGTATTGGTATCTTCTGTACCTGCATTGTGTATATTGAAATAAATTCTGATGATATTTTTTTCATTCGAATTTGAACGACATTGTGGACACGACTTCGACCTAAACATTAGAAGATTGGATAGAATTTCAAATCGCATAATTTCGAATTAAGACTAGTTAATATACACAATCATACACAAACTAACCTCTCCAACCATTGTATCAAACACGTATGATGAAACAAATGTCCGCAATGAGTGCCAACCACAGCATCTGCAGCCACAAACAAGTCACTGCAAATCGTGCAAGTAATCTGCATATTTGCACACAAAAGTACTGAAATTCTCTACAACTATTGAAACATTCAATGCGATTGTCTCAATAAGTTTTTCACGTCGTATTTTGCAATCGCGTCCTGGAACACTTTGGACGGGATCTATCACCAAGGACCGGACCAAAGAGTGTAGTCAAATAATAATAATATCCGCGAATAAGTTCAGGTCAGGCTCGTTTTTAGACCTCTTGGGTTCAGACCGCATTCATGCAGTGTGCAGTTTCCATTTACATCTTCCACAACTGTTCAGATTCTGAACTTCAGAACCACATCGCACTGGTCGCACTTATTCGCGCACTTTTCTCGACACTTCGTATGAAAACAGGGTCGCCAACATTTTATGGAGAAATTAAGCTACCTTGCAGTGAAAATTATCGGTTTTCGGAACAAAATTTTCCTACAATTTTTTAACAGAATAATCGGACCCTTGGTAACAAAAAAATTGGAAATTCTTGTTTTTACATGATAATACTTGATAATAATACGTGATAATAACTTCCTCTAACGCCTTGTGTAAACGGACTCCATGTCCCTGATACCGAAAATTGGATTACTAAACGGTATTGGATTACTACCCGTCTGTGAACAACGCTAGTGGCTAAACAGTAAGCAGGATTTTCACCAAAATTGATATTTTCTGGTTGATCTGACTGATGTTACGGTTCCTTGAACTTGAAACAGAAATTTTGATTTTTAGGGGTATTTTATACAGCCTCAACGATTTTTTGTTGGCTTTATTTCTTTTTTTCTTTGCATCACTCCATCCTCAAATGTAGCAAAGTACACAGAAAAAAGGCGCAAGTGCGATTTTCGTCGATTTCCCCTCAAATTCTCGAAAACTACTGATGTTAATTTTTTTTCGGCCTTCTCCTATTACTACAATATGGAAGACAGAAATGATTTTAAATGAAATTTGTTCTTCAAAATTTGATTTAAAGACAATCAAAATCCATCCTTCAATCTTTAATGAAGGTCATGTATGTATTGGGGATCGGAGCCAGGAATAAAAAAGAGACTTGCTAACACTATGTCGGCCAGAGAGTATATTAACGCAGGCATTGCCAGTTCGATCTTCGCAGACATCTATGAGTGTACACTGCACGAGCAAACGCTTCCGAACAAACCATTCTTCATTCGCTCGACCGGTGGAAATGTAACACCCGAGCGAATCGTAACGTTCGGTCGAGATCGGTTGGCCGCATAGAGTAGAGATAGATATATATCTATCTATAGATAGATATATATCTATCCTCTATGGTTGGCAGGAGCGAGCGAATGTTCATTCGGTATGTTCGTTCCGTGTAAACGAATGCAGACGGGACGCTGAGAGATACAATATACAAGGCTACAGGTATCACCGCCCCACGAATTTCACCAGTTTCATTCTTTATTCAGTGATGAGCTTGGGTGTAGGTATGGTATGGGTATGATTTTCTGCATTGTAACGTGTGATACCTCCTTTCACAAAAATCCTCGCATCATTCGCACGCTCTCTCTCTCCCTCTCCCTCTCTCTGTCTCCCTCTCCCTCTCTCCCCCTCCCCCTCTCTCTGTCTCTCTGTCTGTCTCTCTCTCTGTCTGTCTGTCTCTCTCTCTCTCTGTCTCCCTCTCCCTCTCTCCCCCTCCCCCTGTCTCTCTCTCTCTGTCTGTCTCTTTGTCTGTCTGTCTGTCTGTCTCTGTCTGTCTGTCTCTCTCTCTTTCTCTCTCTCTCTTTCTCTTTCTCTCTCTCTTTCTCTTTCTCTCTCTCTTTCTCTCTCTCTTTCTCTCTCTTTGGTTATTGGAAACGTTTTGTTTTACATACTTCATGGTTGGTCTGTTCTCATCCATTCTCTGTTGGTTATTGTATCCGTTGTGTCAAATTCTTTCAATATTTCTCTCTTAGTTTATTCATTAATTCTTCTTGGTGTGGTGTGTTTGTAATAGTATTTGACATCGCAGTTATTCCACATAAAAGGTCTCCCTTGTTAGCTCATACACCAGTTTTGAAGGGCTAAACTTGGACATCCCTATAGCTATCTGCAGATAGATTTAATTTTTTCTATTTCTTTCAAGTCTCTCTTGTTTAGGTGATCGAAAACGATTTCATGTCCGTATATAAACACCGGAGTTATTTTCAATCTGAATAATTTTATTGGTGTTTCGAGTTAAATTTTGTGAATCTACTGTGAACTCTTCACAATTGTTCTATTTTGCTCATGCCAATCATAAACTGTGAATATCAATTTTCTAATGATTAATCACGGTATATTATGCTTACACTCAATCACATCATTTGTGCTTCTTTAATTTAATGAAGTATGCTCTCATACAGCATTCAAGGTTTACCTATTAGCTTTCTTTGTAATAATTTCATAGTTCAATTATATGTATTAACTTCAATGCCTTCATTTATTTCTGAGGAATGGTGACATCCCCCCAATTAATCAACTTCCAGCTTCGCATAGCTTCTAATTGTGGTGGTTCTTCGTTGAGGTTAGAATTTAGAGTTATGGCAGGATGACCGGGAATGATATACCAAAGGTTACACATCTCAATTTACAGTCTACTGCTACATATCACCTCCGCCAATATGTATGTAAATAAAAATAAAGACAATATAAATTATAAACAAAGTAAATAATTTGTAATAAAATGCTTTTGATATAATTAAATACTTTAATAATTTAATACTTTATGGTTTTAAATTAAAAATACTAATAATTTGTTATTAAAATCGTTAAATTCAGAGCTGCGAAACGACGAAGGATTAGGGTATTATAGTTTTCATTCCATGACACAGATATAAACAGAAAGAATTTAAATAATACGCATGATGTCGATTTATAAATTAAACATTCGCTTACATACAAACATTACTGTCCAGGTACAAAGTCGACAGGATTTCACAAAATGGCTCAAGCCTCTTCTACTTTTTATTATAATTCTTTCTCTTATTCTTCTCATATATTTTCTTTCTCATCTTAAATACTTATCAACCATTACCGCACCTTACCGCGCCGTTTCCTAGTGCATGTAAAGCGATCCATGCCATTTTTTTTTTGTTTCGTGCACAAATTGCGCGAAATGTCACAGCGGCTCACGATCACTCGCTTGGCACCTAGAGAGAGATCTTACTCCGTCAACAGAGTTCCGGTTGCGTCGACCACACACCAATACGTGGAAGTGGCCGTAGTACTGATTGTTAAGCGGAGTAAGAAAGAGATGAGCTGTCACACTCCTCTGGAGAACAGTCGAAGACATTTTCCATACGAACCACTGGGATGAAACAGTGAGATTCAGGATTCCCATTCTTAACTCAAAGCCTTAGAACAAAATGCGCTGTTATTTTTTCGATACATTTTAGACGTTTCTACAATTTTTCTTGTGTTACTCATTTTTATTTTTTGTGCACTTTTACCATTTTAATTTTTTCTCTGGGCGTCTTTTTTGGGGGGAGACATGCCCTCTCGATCTGACACTGCGATTGCATCAGTAATATATCCAACAGCTTGAATTACGCATCTGAATTTCTTTTGATAAAAAACGTCATTTTTCTATGCTTTTGGGGCATTTTAAAATTATACGTGCTGTTTTAGCACCACGTATAACTTAAGTTTCGCGAGAAGTTAAAAATCAATAGTTACTGTTTTTTTGGGGTGGGGGTTCCTCTCATTTTCCCCCTTCCCCATGGATCCGCGCCTGCACCAAGTTATCCAATCTGTATAGCGGGCTACCACGGGCATATGTGCTATGCTACAGAACCGAAATGGGCCCAAACGGCAGGAAAATGGGAACACACGTGATGATGTTTAGGGAGTTATACTTAATTCTTAACTGTGTATCCAGTGGTATTTATCGCAGGAAGTTCTAGAAGGTCTCTTGGGAGCCGGTAGATGGCGACAAGGGGAGGAGGCAAAACCAACAAGGTGGTGTTGAAACAAAATAAAGATGAATAATGTAATAGGAAAAAAATCTGTTCTATTTTTAGCACCAATTTGTTTCTTTTGCAGAAATAAATTACTGCAATCACGTTACGGCTAGTCCTAATAGTTAAGTTCTTTGCACTAGAGGTTGGAGATATACATCTCATAAAGGTTTCTAAAACGGATCGGGCGAAATATATTATGATACATAGGCTGGTCCTTAGTTTTAGTAATGTTAAATATTACCTTTCGTTTTCAATCATCCATTTCTAAATTGAGTATTCTTGTGGTTATCTTCGCAACGGCCCTTCGGTTCACTCTCTGGAAAAGCGGTGGCCAATCGCTGCGATTCCTCCTGCTCCGCCCATCGCTGGCACCCGCCCAGCGCTCGCTCATTTCGCGGTGTTTCGTGGCGGAGGCGAGAGGTGGTTTGTGATTCGGACGCGAGTGCAGGCTGTTGGGACGTCATTGATGATTGTTCTTGAAGTGCTTTGGTAACAGGATTCTTTTCAGAACAAATTTGCGTGGCGTGTAATTAGGTTTAAAACGGATATCCAGAATAATTCAAAGCAGATTAATATTTGTGCAAAGTGGGTGAGCAAGATGATTTCATTAGAAAATGTATTTCGTAAATCATGTGAAGGATAGAGTAGCATTTATGCATATCTTTTATCAAAGAGTTTATGAATAAATTGTTCTATAGAAATGAATTTCCTCAAACTCGAATTACAGGTTTAAAATGCTGTGAAGTGAAAAATGAGCTCCAAAGAACTACGAAAAGTGCTTAGTTGCTTGATGCGCAAATGTTAAAGCTCAAAAATGAGCTGGATGTGATATTAAGAAATGGTTGGTAGAAAGTGCTCGTGAAGCTTCGGGAGTGTCGGTATTGGACGTACTTTTTGTGCAACTTCTCTGGACTTCTCATCAGTCTCCACGACGCCGTTTCTTCTCGTCGTTCCTAAATTTTCCTTGTTCCCGCCAGGTGGTTAGAAAGGTTTTAAATCTGTAAAGTGTAGTTTTACTCGTTCTAAAGACGAATAGTCATTTAGCAAACGTAAAAAAAATTGTTTTAATTTTTCAAAGTCAAGTTTGCAAATCTTTAATAAACTGTAATGAATAAGAGGTATGCAAATCAATAGGACCAAGAGTATTGGCAGTTTATGTAATTATCAAACATTTAAAGTACTTAACATTACCCAAGTTACAACATTATTTTGGATTGGAAGAGATTTGGCAATCTAGTTTGAAAGTAAGAATTTAAATTCTCTAAGAATTATCGATCAGCGAACTGAGAATGTGGTAATGAATAGAATTGATTCAACAGGTCAGGATTTTAGGAATAAAATAAATTACGATGTTTAATTACGAGAATTAGCATATTAAACGTTTCCATCCTTTAGAAATTTGATCTAGTAATATGGTATACATTACGGTGTAAAATTTACAGCTAACGTAGGGTAAAGTAGGTTCCAAACCACAGGGCAGGGTAGAATAGCACCCCTGGCAGAAGAGCAACGCTTTGGCCTGACGCCGGTGGAGACTGGAATCGGTGAGTGTTCTGAGTGGAGCCCGTCCCGTGCGCCTTCTTATGCCCAGTGCCCTTCGCAACGTCTGCGGCAGCCAAAAGGCGAGGCCGTTTGCACTCCTTTTCCGGACTGCACGACGGATGACGCAGGTCTAGCCACA